CGGCTCGGCTGCGGGGAGTGCGAAGCGGTGCTCTTCCGCGATAGGGGCTGGGGCGGCTCCCCTTGGGAAAAGGCGGTCGGGGGGTAGAGAGGGTAGTCCTCGAGGTTGAGGAAGGAGACGGCGCCAGGCATCCGAGGCGTCGCGCGCATGCACCCCGGACTGGGCTGGCGAAACGAGGACGTCTTCCCCTGGGAGGGGGTCTGGAGGCTTAATTGTTGGGAGGACCGCATTCGATGCGACTCCCGGTCGTAGGCCAGACCGACACTGGGGCTGTAGTCGGACGGGAAATTTGGTTGTGGGGTGGTCGAGCTTTCGGAACAACTACGATGACGAAGCAAAATCGGCGTGTTGATGCGTTCGTCACCGAGACAATTATTGACAGAGTTGCTGGGTCCAGTACCCCATCCAGAATACGCGCTTGCAGTGGTAGAGGAAAATTGAGAATTTGGCTGCGTCTGAGAAATCGGTAGTGGCGCGTCGAGCGTCTTTTTCTTAAAGCCACATGAGGACTTATCAACCACATGGTGGTGTTTCCGTTCCCTACCGTTGTCCTCGGCGAGTTTAACCATGAGTGGGATGCCATTGCAGGACTCGAAGGGTTTGGTATTCTGAACTGCCATTGCTGCCTTTTCAGCCGCACCTTCTTCGCCGTAAATCACGAAGGCTATATGACGTACCAGCATGGGATACGGGACTGGAGTAGTATCCTTGTGGATCGTCACCTGGTTGACCGTGCCATACTCTGAAAAAAAACCAGCTAGATCTTCCACCGTGATGTCCAATGGAATATTGCGCACAAAGAGTTTCATGATCTTCCGCCGTGCCTCTCCAACAGGTATGCGCTCGTGCTTTCTCGCCCACTGTACAAAAATCATTTTCCCTTCCAAGATACTTCCTGACATCGCAACCATCGCCTCATGTGCTTGCTCGTGAGTTTCAAACTCTACAAAAGCCGTGCCCAGGCTTTCACCAGTATGAATGTTTCGCATTACCGCTGATGATAGAATTTTCCCAAACACCGAAAAGTGCTTTTCCAAGATTTCCTGATCTACTGAATGATTGAGGTCGTAAATAAAGAGATTGGTACTGCTGAAGTTATGTCGAGCTCCAGAAGTGCGTTGGGCAGGAGTAGAATTCGATGTTTGCGTTTTGTCAAGTGATACGTTACTCCCAGATGATTTATAATTTCTACCAGAATTTTCTAAGGCAAAAGTACTCGTCGTGGCATCACCTTCCAAACATTGTTTAGTTGGCGATGTATCCACAGTGTTCTTATTCTGAGGAATGAGTAAATCTGGGCATGGTGATATACATTGCTTAAGGATCGACATGAAGGATGTTGATGCGGATGGCACAGAAGCAAAATAATCAGATATGCCTTTCACGTTAAAGGTATTACTGTTTAGGAACCACGATTCCCTCCTAATACAGAGGGGGGAGAAAAAAAATAGAAAAACAGGTTAGCTTTAGCTTAAAAATGGAAAGGCTGAGAGAAAAGAAAAGTGGATTGGACTAAATAAGAAAGATCAAGCATTAATTAGTTTTCAAGCAAAGACTACTGATTTTTATCTCAATGGGAGCTGAAAAGATAATTTTTTTTCAGACATCTGCTAACAGTTGATTGTTAGAACTTTCTGTATTTCCGTTTGTTTTCATTATCATGCTTAAAATGATGTTTAAGTATGTGGAAACTACAAATGATGAATGAAAAATGGGATAAAACATGTTGTTACAGTGGAATATATGTTTATTATTAATATTAAACCTCCGCTGTTGCCTTTAAAAAAAGCTAAACCGAAAAGTGTCAGTTAGCGAAAAGGGATATAGATGATTCGCAGAATAAAAAATGATAAATTCTGTACATATCCATTTGTTTATAGAATTCCTTAATGTCATCTTTTTTCCCCATATCCCCTGTTTTAGTTGTACATATTCATCGAATACATATATATACATCAACGTACTGAGCATCGCAGCTCGTTTAATCTCTGTCTGGTTTCATTTTCTTTTCTATTCTCATACGCAGAATTTATAAAGCGAATGATTAAAAATGAAAAATGGAAGCTAAATAGATGAATAAGTAATGTGTTGTTGTTTTTTAAGAAACATTAAGATAAATGTGTTACTTGAAATATAGGTACACATACCCAAATCAAAGTGGAGAAACCCCAAAATGGAATAAATTCCAGAAGAGAATGAGAAAAGACGAAAATAAAGGCTAATGCGTATTTTTCCTCGAAAATGAACCTTGTAATCATGATCAGGATATCAGCCATTAAAATGATGGAGGGAAATCTTTGAGTAATAAATGTAAAACCTTTGTTTCGGTTGTAGATCTCGGAAAATAAGTGTAAAACATGGAAATCACCGTTGTCTTGAGATGTAAACAAACGTATGCATTCTCTTAAGTGTTTTCTTGAATTTTTTTTATTAATCGCATCTTTCTCGAAAAATTTCAAACACTGAAGGAAAATAAATTTCGAAGTATTTTCACAAAACTCGATTCATTTTTATAGATGCTTAGTATTTGATTTTCTGTTAGGACAAAAAAAAATAGAAGAGGGACATGTTTAACTACAGAAGAGTTCATATTCTTTTTTTTCAAAATTATTTATATGCATCTATTCCACTTCTAGATATACTTTATTTTTGTTTTTGCATATGAAAAAGACTCTTGTCGAGAATAAAAAAAATGTAGCGGAAGTAAAAATAAAATTCTAGAGTAGAGCGGAACTAGATCACAAAAAAGTAGCGAAAAAATGCTCAAAACAAAAGTATGTCTATTTATTATAGAGTAGGAACATGGAATGAAAATGGGTAATAAGCTAGATTGATTTTAAAAGATATATAATATGATATAACTAATTCTGTATTTAAATATATAGAATTTATTTCAGCAACTTAAGAAAGAGCACAAACAGAAACTAATCAAATAAATCATCTCTAAATAAGAAAAACAAACAAAGGAATAAATTAAACAACAATATAAATGACTTAGAAATGAACGGGGGACAGAAGATATAACCCAATCTACGGTTCAACAAACAATCTATATGTAGAAAAAAAAGATACATGCGACGCATTCGAAAAAAAAGATATATTTCTGTAGTGACACAATCATTCAAGATCATTAGTCACATATATCTACATATAGGATTATTTAGTTCTAAAATACACAAACAATATTTATATGGTAAAATTCAAAAATAAAGATGTAACACAATATTATATATTCGGTATTATATCCATATTTGTATATATCTTATCGGCAATGCTATTCTGCAAACAAAAGAGAATAACCATGCATTGATAGCTGCCGTTTCCTCATTTTTTCTTCACATTTTTTAAACTTTTCTTTAAATCACCTTCGATGTTATTGCCATAATTATTACATAGGTGGATTCATAATTGATTTCTGTTATTATTATTTTCCTCCTGATGCTTACCTTGCCTCTTTTGATGAGCATTTGTTTCTTCTACATCCATATGTATATTAAACAAAGAGTTATTTTCCAAAATAGAGAAAAACTCGAATTCCGGCGGATAAAATTAGGCAGCAAACCATTCTCTTGCTACAAAAATCTTAGAAATAACGTGCTTTTGACTGAGCACACAATTTATCGTTATTTTTTAATCAAATTTTACATATATAGGAAAAAACGCTAACTCCA